AGTTACCTCATATATCGTCAGAATTTATTACAGTAGATGATCAAGAACGATTAACCAGTTACGTTGCGAAGAGTAATTCAGTTATTACGGAATTTCACAAATGTACTTTCTTGAAAAAATGTCAATTCATTTCAACAACTTTTTTCGTAACAAGACGACGAGAAAAGGACAATAGGTCGTTTCATCTAAATATGTACGTCGTTTCATCAAGAACTTATAACGGCTCAAAAGAATTGCAGAGACCGATGATGAGATGATAAATATCTTCATTTTTGTCATGAAACGTGGTATTCGATATTGAAAATGCTCAATGAAAACTCGGGTATCCGTTCGATTCTGTTTCTTTTTCATGATTTGCAAAAAAAAACATCCTAATTGACTCGGTAAAAAAAACTGAAATTTTCCGTGTACTTTGTTTTGTACATGATATTTATGTTATGGTTGAATAATTGATGGTTTCGGATGAAAGGTAAAAGTTATGAATGATCGAGTTTTTTTCTTCCGTTCTTTCTTTTCTCAATAATTTTTTTCTAAACACATATGCCTAAATAATATCGATTTGAATTTATTTGTATTATTCACTTGGTCGCTGTCAGCTTAACGATATTTTTATGCACGGATCGATACGAAAGCTTTTAGGAAGACACGACAGCAATTTTGGATGCTATCGAATATTTTTGTCTACAGTGAAAAGCTTAGGTATTGTGAATTTTATAAAATATTAGAGACAATCAATTCTCTCAGTCCCTAGTTGGTCTGGCAATGTAAATGATATTCTTGTACGATTTACATAAAGTCTGATAAGGCTATCCAAAGGGGAAAGAATGAAACCATGGAATCTGGAAATTTATTAAATATCAAAGGCATTTGGTAGAACCTTGAAGTTCTAAGATATCGAATGGAATCTTTTAGAATCATAATTTAAAAATTATTTACTAGTCTTGTATTAACATTGTATTGGAAGGAACGATACCAAGATACCTCAGATATTTTCGTATATTATAAGCATAATTTTTAGTCGATCTCTGAATGAACGACTAGCATATGTGACTGTTGATAACTATATTCGTACTTTAACAGATATCTTCAATTATTTTCTCTCATAAACTGCATCCTCTCACATAATTGTTGTTCCTTTATGGACTATAAATTTCAAACGAAGAATACGTTGCCACAATATACAATAACCGAAAGAAAATGTGATCACATAAGCTTTAAAAGCTGACTGCAGGTTTGGCACGTATATCAGACATTTGAAGAAATACTAAAACTCGACATTGAGACTGTATATAGGTCCAAGAAAATATTTTAGTCGGAATAGGTTTCTATCAAGGGAGTTTGGGGTATGAAAATGTAGTCAGACAGAATGTCTCAATCGATAAGATATGATTTTTAAATCACAACGCCACATAATCAGACATATTTTCGAAATTTTTTCAACGGAGCTCCGAAGTAAATTCGAGAATAATCAGATAACCAAAGAGAATGGAATTTCACCATAAGTTAAAAGCAATTTATTTTAGATATCGAAAGTGGGAAAATGTTGCGATGTAATAACCTTGACATGGCGTCTTTACTGCTGAATCTATCTCTGTATCAGCCAAGTAAGTAGAAATTCTCACTTTAAAACAACACGTCATAAATTTTGTTTCTTTTGGAGCTTTGAAATGTAAACAATGTTCATACGTTAAAACCATTGTTCCGCACCGATATGACGCGGACAATCCGAACGAACTTCCATGGCCTGTTGGTCTATATATGGGTCCGCACGACCAAATTTTTATTGTCGATAAAATGCGTGATCGAGTACTTCTGATGGCTGCTCAGGAGGACGTCTACTCAAACGCTATAGCTGGAGATACTGAAAACAGCAAAATTTATGATCGACTATTCTGTCCCACCAACCCTTGAGCTCATCGAAACCAAAAAGCAATGTGAAAAGAATTGAGTCAAGAGAATCACATATGGCAAGCGTTATTTGTTTTGATGAATCTCATCAAGAGAAAAAAAGACGATTTGTTACCAAGAAATGGAATTGAAAAAATATCTTGATGATTTACGTTTTATCTCG